TTTTTGTGGGGGGGGGGGGGCAGCATGCACTCCTTTAGGATTGGAGTTAAATATCTACCGCTTGTTGCTTAGCAGTACCTCCACTGCACTGAGTTTATGCACTTTCTGATAAGAAGCAGGAGTCATAGACCTCTTTTCATGTACCTGCATTATGTTATCTGACCATCATTAATTAGATTTACTTCAAAAATAGCAAACTTTTAAACCTGAAGTTAAAGATTTTCAAGCGATAAGCACAAAGCCAGGCAGCATCGTACTCAACAAAGGACAGGCGGCAAGGATTGTGAAGTCATTCAGTTCTCTTTCATTTTTGTAGTTCATCTGATATGATCAATAGAAATGTGGGAGAAAAAGATGACATGAAAGTGGTCATATGTCAAATTACGTTTTTCTTTATTTTTCTATTTTATGGACCCAGTGAGTCATAGAAAGAGCATAGACATGTACATTCTATCAATCATGAAAGATTCTCCTCTTTATATTTTTTCTCAACCAGAATTCAAGCTGTGATCTGTCAGTTATTACATAAATGTCAAAGTGTGTGTGTGTGTGTGTTTAACAGCATGCATAAATAAATAAATACATTTTTCAGGATACTGTATTTTAAAGGTCATTTTGTAAAATCCAAATAAGCGTGACAGATCTTTATTAGATTAAACAAATATTGCACATGTACCTGTGGACAGGACTGAATCAGGGAATTTCAAAGGTTTTGATACCATGGACTGAAGGTCCGATCTGTGACTCAGAATTGTGAAGACAGAAACAGAGAGGGAGTCCGGCATTGGCCATGACACAGGCCTCATTCAGACTTCCATCCCTGCAAGCACAAAGGCTTTTATGTGTTTCGGGAGTATATGCTCTACCCACTGTGTCCTGGTATAGATCCTTCTTGGTTACAAGAATCAGCTTGAAACACTGCTTTTTGCAGAGTTAAGGCGAGCTCTGTCATTGATAGCATTATCTGGGGACATTGTCTTATTCAATCCAAATCTGATTTAATCAGATAGGGGGGAAAAACAGTGTTAAAGTGACTCACTGGGGAGCTCATTCGCACTTCACATGGAAGATATGACAGAGGAGATGAGAGATCATTATCATGTCCTATTTAGATACATTCGCTTCCTTTTTTCTATTTCACTCTGTGTTCTCTTTCTGTCTCTATCAGCAGTTTCTCTTTTATTTATTTCCTTCTTTCTGGTTGTAAATCCTCACACTCCCCAATCAATTATAGCAGTATGAATTATGGCTCCCTAACAAAGAGCATCCATTTTCTGTGTGGAGTCACAAGTGCCCCCTCCATAATTCTTTCTCACACAGACACACACAAACCCGAGCACGTCAACAAGTGCACTTCCCATAATGCACCAACTCATGCTGACTATGGGTGTTTTAATATTGCTAAGAAATATGATGCACATAAAAAGTAAGAAGAGAATGAAGGGAAGAGAGGGAGGATGAGTGAGTGAGTGAGTGAGTGAGTGAGTGAGTGAGTGAGTGAGTGAGTGAGTGAGTGAGTGAGTGAGTGAGTGAGTGAGTGAGTGAGTGAGTGAGTGAGTGAGTGAGTGAGTGAGTGAGTGAGTGAGTGAGTGAGTGAGTGAGTGAGTGAGTGAGTGAGTGAGTGCATTAGTGTCAATCCAGTGTCACATTGGTGAAAGTGAGCTCAAGCATACATGTGCTGTGTTTGTAAGTACCTCATTGAGACCTCAGAGTTATGAAAAGATGTATCTTAATCCAGCCGACCCAAGCTCTGTGGACGCACAGATGACATTGCATTTGTAGTTACTTGTACATCATCTCTGTCTATTTTAAATGCCTTTTCCCCTTCAGATCCCCAACCTCTTCTCATTCTGCTGCTCTCTCTCTCTATTTCTCTCCTTAATAGCCTCCATTAGTGTACTAATCATCTCTGTTAATCATCTTGTTTTGCTCTTGGATCACTCTCGGTGGAAATCAGCACATTTTTGTCATGTTTTCAGCACTGATTGTGGGAGAAAATCAGCACAATTCTGCAGAAAAGTTTTAAATATGATAAAATATGTTAAGTAGAGCTTAGAGTACTACAATCTATCGGTAACTGAAAGCATGATTAAATTAGTCTGAATGTTATTTAAACAATATCAATGATGGAAAAAAATGCATGTTAAACCGGCTTAAGCTGGTTTGCCGCCAGCGGAACTTTTTACAGATTTGAATGATGACAGCGAAAAGAACTAAAATGCTCCTTCATACTTGACCGTACATATAAAAGTAATCCAGCATTTAAATCCGTAAAGGGTCTACTTGTGTACACTCACAATATCAACAAAACATTGTGCTTTTGCAAAATAAAGAAAATAAACAGGGTGTGCTTTTAGCCATCTCATTCTCCGCGCATATCTGTTTGAAACGCGTCACTAAAATTAACTGAAACTCAGCGAATATTTGACACACACACATGAGAGATATATCTATAGAAAGCTTGACATGTCTACTTTTAAATGAAGTAAGTCATGATGAAAATAAATATTATTTGACAAAGTAATCAGTATGAAACCAACGCGATGTCAAGTCTTGGCCGTCGCCTTCATTATCGCTAATGTGACCACGCCCACGTGCCGATCGCGCTTTTGATATTACAATAGTCCACGTGAGACGCGCGCATGTAAACTTTCCCTCAAGTTCATCTCGGCTACTTCGCTTCTGGAAGAAGACGCGCTGAGAGAAATAAGCTTTGGATTTTCCTCAGAAGAACACG